ATGCAGCCATACCCATATCTGCACATCCGCAATAAGGAATTTCCATGGGGTATGTTGTGTCTTTCATATTGAGTGTGGCCTTGATTTTTTTTTTTTTTAATTGTGTTCCCCACCAATTTATTTATGGGGGGAGATCCACAACAGAAGCAATTTATTTACTACGAAGGTTAATAGAAAGATACAAGAGTAAAGGAAGGGATTTACATATAGTTCTAAGGTTTTATTGACTTGGAAAAAGTTAATGATCGTGTGTCAAGAGAAGTATTTTAGAAGGTTTTGGAAAAGTAAGGTGTACGGGTTGCTTATATCAAAACCATACAAGATATATATGAAGGAGTAACTACTACTGTAAAACCATCTGGAGGTGAGACAAAGAACTTTCCCATTAATATTGGCCTACATTAGGGGTCTTCTGTGAGTTCTTACTTATTTATTGTTTTAAATTTTCTAATTGAGCTTATCCAATCTCTAAGTGTATGCTTTTTGTGGATGACACGGTCCTCATGGCTGAATGAAGAGAAGAAATTAACTCTAAATTGGAGATATGGAGAAGGAACTTGGATTCAAAAGGTTTTTGCTTGAGTAAGAACAAAACATAATATATGCATTGCAAGTTTTGGAAGAGGCAAGGCAGTGGTGATTTGGAGGTGAAGACGGGAGATCAAATTATTTCTCAAGTGTCAAAGTTCAAATATTTAGGATCAATTACACATGAAGATGGTGAAATTGATGGAGATGTTTCTTATAGAATTTAAGCTGGTTGGTTAAAGTAGAGGAAAGCTATCGAAGTTATTTGCCATAAGAAGGTACCAACAAAGCTTAAGGGAAAATTTTATCGGAGTGCTATAAGACCAGCTATGTTGTAGGGTAGTGAATGTTGGGCAATAAAGGAACAACAATAGTATAAAGTTGGGGTGGTAGAAATGAGGATGTTGAGATGGATGTGTGATTATACAATAAAAGATAAGATTTGAAATGAAAATATTAGAGCAAGAGTAGGTGTGGCGCTTATCGAAGAGAAAATAGTTGAACATCATTTGAGGTGGTTTGGGCATATGAAGAGAAGGCCATTGGAGGTCTTGGTGAGAAGATAGATCAGACAGTTTGGAGTCCTATAAAAAAAAAAACAGAGGAAGACTAAGAAGAACATTCAATAAGGTCATTAAATGAGACCTCCTGGTCAACAACATATCGAAGGACTTGGTTGTTAATAGATCACAATGACGTCATATGATTCATGTAACCGACCTCACCTAGTGGGATAAAGCTGCTTGTTGTTGTTGTTTTCCACAACAACTTGAAAGTTTCAAAAATTTAATTTCATTAAATGTTAAAATTCTTTAGATTTGTATTTGACTTTGCTCAATTTCTCTCTGTTTAACACATTAATGTGCTGCTATATTTTAGTTTGTACCTGATTCTGTGAGTATTGAGTAATCTCATATTCAGCTAGAGCAGCTGTCATACGTAGATCAGTCTGTTGGAGGAAGCTGCTTTTGCTTTTGTAAATTCACCATTGAGTTTGAGATATCAATATCATACATCTGATAGGATGGAATGACATCTGAAGCATGAGAATAGTGGCCGGTGTGTTTCATTTTTCATGGGCTTGCATATTTCAATAATGATTCAAATCTAACATTGACCATCTTTTCAAGATTTTCTAAGTTTACCGTTAACTCTAAGGATAAGTTTATTCTGTTTGGCTTGCGTGTGCAAAAAGGTTTTGGTTGGATTGAGAGTCCATGATACTATTAGGTCTATGTCATAATTGAGAATTGATTAGCCTGTGTTCAAAATGAGTTCAAGCAAGGGCTTTTCTTGGTCAATTTATCAATCGTATTATAGTAAACACTTTTGGGGGCGTTTGTATAATCCATGGAAAGACATTTCTTTTTCCATTACTCAGAAAACAATATTGGTGATATCTTCTAACTTAAATTAACTGTTATTCTTATTCACAGGTACAAGTGACATTGCAAAAGCTATAGAATCACCTTTTGTATTTTATTCGAAGCACCAAGAGTAGTCGTTTATTTAATTATATGCATATTATTGTTAATTATTGTTAGCTAGTGTTGTATTTCTTGTAGAATTGCAATCTGGCTTGCATTTTAGTAATCCGCGAGGCCTGAAATTCCCTGCTCATGACTGGATTCTTTTGGGTAAGCAGGTCCAGATGGCCTTTTCGAAAAAAAGCATCACTAGGAACATCTGGTGGTTAAGTCGGAGTTATCGCGTGACTGTTGTTTGGCTTATTTCTTGCCCCATGTCGAAGTTTGATAGAACATTTTCATATTGTTGCATAAATTTTAATGTGGAACTTGCAAGTAGCAAGACAGTCTTATTAGGTCGTGTTTCATACCCTTACTTGGATTTAAAATAATTGAATACTTGGTTCTGCTTTGTCCAGTTTGGTGCAACAACTAGCATTAGAAGCAGTGTTATGTATGCGTTAGTTGTTCGAACCCATCCTCACACCTTCTTTGAACATACTGGAATACGGTATCATCATTTTGGTTGAAAATGCTCAAAATGTAATGATTGGTCTGATTTTTAAACTACTTTTCCGGTATTTAATATAAAATCTATTTAACTAATTTGATTAGATTAAAAAAATTAGGTAAGTTAGTTATAAAAAATATGACATGTTTTTCATAAAATAACATAATCATCTTTTTTAATATTTTTTTTTCTTTTTCTACTTAATTATAGTTAAGAAAGATTCATAGGAATATTTAAAAAAAATTGATAAATATAAAAAATAATTTATATTTAGGATCAAAATTAATTTAACAATTAGATATTATACCAGGACTGAAAAAATACCTTATAATATTTCTTTAATAATGTTCAACTTTACGTTAAGCATGAAGGTCTCAGGGGAACAATGTTGATAGTAGCGGGACCATCAAATCAGCGAGGCGCACTCTCTTACGCTATGTTTGGCTCGATAGAGGGAAGGGGAGGGGAGGGATTTTAATCAAGGGAAGGGGAGGGGAGGAAAGGGGAGGGTAGCTACAAAGGGGAGGGAGGGGAGGGGGAAGGAGGAGGATGGAATGATTTCTGTTTTGGATTGATTGGAGGGGAGGAGGGGAGGGAGCAATTTTAATAATCCTTATTTTGTTTCAATAAAAAATTGACTATTTTAGCCTTATAAAATTTAAATAAATTTTCTCACTTTTTATTTTGTTAAGATATAACTATATATATAATACAATTCACTAATTTTGATTACAAGATACAGTCACACACTTATAGAATATCAAGACAAAAACTCACAAGTGATAGATTTCAATCAGAGAAAAGACCTTGAAGGTGAAAGAAAATACCAACGGCCTCTTAGAATTAGAAGAAGAGAAAAAAAGTTTACAAATGCTTACTAATTTTGGAGATAATTATCTTAATAACCTCTTATTAGATGCTCAAAGAACTCTTATGTAGAAATATTTATGACTGATCAGAAGTTAACAAATCAAAAGGGCATATAAGGAATTAAAATATCATCTCTCGTCTCCCCTCCAAAAAACCCCACTTTTGGAGGGGAGGCTAGAAGGAAGGGGAGGGGAGAAAAACCCCTCCCCTCTTTAAAAAACATCTTAATAATCAACGGGAGAGGGGAGGAGCTCCCCTCCCCTTCTAAAAATTATACTAGCCAAACAAGAGAAGGGGAGCAACTTCCCTCCCCTCCCCTCCGAAAACCCCGTACCAAACATAGCGTTAGTGGCCGAACAGTGATGCGATTCACATGCACTCGTACCTTGCGATTTCCCTCGTACCTTTATACTAGCTTTTTGTTTTTAATATAACATTAGTTTGATATTTAATTTGATATTAAATATAAAATTGTAATTTATTTATTTTTTTTTTACTTGTTTTTTAAAGTAAATTTTGTAATAGTTATACATATTAAAGTTTTATAGTGGCTCTAAGTGATATAAATGATCAGATATTTTTAGAAAAAATAATACCTATAACTAACTTAATTTTTTTTTTTAATTTATTTAGGTTAGGTAACTATGTTAAAGGGGACGGGAGCTAGTAGAAATAAGTAATCCATTGAACAGAGAAATTGCGGAGTTGACCGAGTAGCATCCCGAAACTTATAGTTAGATCATCGGTCGGTCGTATGAGGTTTATTGGGTCAAAAAGAAGAGTGAAGCTTGTCCATGTAAAATAGAACACGAGCTTACTTTTATACACCGCAGCCACTCCGCTGCTGAAGCAATGACACTGAAAAAGGTAAACGTATTACGGTTGAGCGAAAGGGATCCTCTCCTCTATCTCTACTGTTACCCTTCTCTACCCCTTTTTTTTCCTTTTTATTATCGGTTAGAATTTTAATAGTTTCAAATTTAACATTTTATAAAAATATTTATAATTATATATAAAAAATAGATAGATAAATTTAAATAGTTAAAATTTGATTTTAATAGTTCACAATTATAAACTATTACAATAAAGCATTTTTTTATATTTACAATTGGGAGTTGTTTAGATCAAATTTTAACGGCTTAAATTTATTAATATTTTTTAAATACAATTCAAATAACATTTTATAAAATGTTAAATTTTAAACCATTAAAGTTTAGAAAAAAGAAGAAAAGAGCGGATCCATTCCTGAGTTAAGCTTCAAGTATCCCAACTCTATGGTGAGGAGGAGAAAGATCAACATTTCGGGAAAGCGTTTTGGCCGAATAGTAGTGGAAATGGATACGTAAAAGTTGTTACTTTAACAACGAAGAACAACAAATGATTTATACATATAACTCTATTGCTGCAGCAAATAACAATAACCCCCCAAACAATCTAAATAGCATATTGGCCACGTACAGAACAATACATATCTCAACAAAAAAGAAAAAAAAGGTTAGGACCATAACAGGAAGCCTCTTGCAGTTGATTTATTTGAAATATAGCTCCGTGGCAGTAAGCATCACTGTGATTGCTTTCGGTATTGGTCTCTCTGGCAACCTTCCCAAGTTAACGTTCTGAAAAATTCAAGATTCAGACCTGACTTGATCCTGCGAGTTGGAATCGGTTGATTCTTCTTTCTGGTTTCCTGCAACAGATGATTCTTTTTGAGCACCTCCAGTTTCATTTGTCTGGCTTTGAACATTGTTCTGTTTCTCACTCTGCACTGCATCAGCATTGTTCCCGGAAGATGCATCTTTCTCTTCAGAAATTGAGGAAATCAGAAGAAACGCCTGGCACCGTCATGTCTTTGTTTTCATTTCTATTGTCATTAGCATTTTCATTGCCATTTGAATTATTCTGGCTGGCATCATTCCTGTTTTCTGAGTTAGAGGATTCTTCCTTATTTTGTTCTGATGGAGTGGTCAGTGGATTTGACTTGTCCCTGGTTGGCCTCTACGCCATTATTAGCGCTTCCATCACTGTCCGTTTCGCTCTGAGTAGAGTTTACATTGTCATTTTGCCCAGAATTACTACTATTTTCTGACTTTGAGGAATCATCTTTCTTCTGTTCAGATGAAGCACCAGAGGAAGTTTGTTGTACCTCCTGGCTAGCATCTTTGTTGTCACCTGTACTGGATGACACACATTATCTTGCGCTCCCTTGTCAGAATTGCTGTCAACGTTTTGCTTGTCAGCAGCATTAGTAGGTGAGTCCTTGGACTCTCCATTGGTTGCATTGCTGACATAGTTTTCTGAGGAAGATGTTGAAGTGGAATCAGCTTGCTCCCCATCCCTTTTATGTCCATCACTCTCCATCAATGCTTGGTTCCCATTGCCTGAATCAGCCTTCTCAGTTTTTTCTGATTCTGTTTTATTTGAGACTAACTCATGTTGATCAATATGAGCTTCTTCAGTACCATGGGTATTAGACTCATCCTTAAACTCATTATTTTCCTTGTTTTCAGATTGCTCTGTCTTGCTATGACTTTCATCTGTGGTATCTTGTGTTCTGTGTTTCCACAGCACTGGCGGCATTATCTCCAGCATAATGCTCCTCTCTAGCCTCCTCATTATTCCTTTCCTCCCATCCTTGACTTGATCCTCAGATGAAGTCACTTCCTGAATCTTCTCATCCTCTTCTTGCTCTTTTTCAGATGAGCTGCTCTCCTCTTCTTTTTGTTATCATTAACTTGCTCTTAACATCGTCCAATTGTTCCTTCACTTCAGTGTTGCTTCCTCCCCATTTTCCTTATTCTCTGTCCTTTTGCCTCCATTCTCTTTGTTCTCCACTCCATCTTTGTTCTCTTCATTCTTCTCTTGCTCTTTCACTCCAGTGCTGCTTTCTCCATTTTCCTTATTCTCTGTCTCTTTTGCCACTACATGCTCTTCCTGATTCCCGTTCTCTCTCTCTAGCCTCTCCTTTTCTTTGTTCTCCACTTCATCTTTGTTCTCTTCATTCTTCTTCTCTTGTTCCTTCACTTCGGTGCTGTTTTCTCTCTCTCCATTTTCCTTATTCTCTGTCTCTTTTGCCTCTACATTCTCCCGCTGACTCTCGTTCTCTCTAGTCTCTCTCTCTCCCTCTCTCTGTTGTTCTCCACTTCATTTTTTGTTCTCTTCATTCTTCTCTTGTTCCCTCACTGCAGTTCTTTTTTCTTCATTCTCGTGGTTCTCTGTCTCTTTTGCCTCTCCATTCTCTTGCTGACTTTCGTTCTCTCTAGTCTCCCTTGTCTCTTTGTTCTCTTCATTCTTCTTCTCTTCATTATCATTTCCCTGGCTATCATTTACGCCATTCTCGTCGCCAAATTTCTTTTGATCCGCCTCACCTTCCTGCCCCGTCCCAGCAGCATTTTCAGAACTCAGTTCACTCGCTTTCTCTTGATCTACTGACTCCTCTTGACGCTCAGAATCCCCTTCTGTGTTTTCCTGCTCAGCTTTTTGGGTTGAAATCTCATTATCCACGCCATTAGTATCATCCATCTTGTTTTGCTCTTCATGCTTGCTTTTCTTCATCCTCCTCCTCCCTATGCCTGCTCTATGATGGAGGTTTCCTCTCTGCGCGGGTTGAGATCCTTCCTCCCCAACCTCACAGTCTCGCCGCTGGTTCGTGTGCTTTCCCCATATGATACTTTCTTCTCATAAGATTGTTTGATTTGGTAACCCAGCCAGACACAAAGGCCAAGCGCAACACATAATTGTAGTGCATGCTTCACCTTGAAGCCTCTGGATCTCTGGTTCCTCTGAGCCGACTTGAACATGATGGAGATTCCTCTCCCTCAAACTTCACTTTTCCCCGAATACCTGCCCATATTGAGCAATCTCTATAACAGGCTATTAATTATCAAAAATAGCAACTCAACCATAAATCAGATCAGGAAGGGGGGGGGGCAAGAAGACACGCCGCGTTATATCCTCAAGCAAGCGGAAATTCTATATCGACATATAATACAGGGGACTTCATACAATCTACAGATTACAGTTCATATAAGGAAATATTTGTACATCTGAGAACTAATGAAGCAAGGATTTTTGCTCATCGCAGGAATCCACCATCAGTAAAAAATATTGACCCCTCGCGGACCATTTACACAGGCAAAGTTAACTACAAATCTTGTAGTTTAGTTTCAGATCATCGAATCTTATGCACAATACAGGAAAAACAGACATATTGGTGTTCTGCAAGTCTGCAGCCAACTCGAATGGAGAAAAGAATGTTTAAAGCATGAACGAGACAGGGTCAAAACTCAAAGCTACTCACAGATCCACACAGATCTTGACAAGTATTCTAAACAATGTATCTGAATTACGACATCACCGAAACTCAAAACCTTCCTGACAATAACTTTGGAACTGATAAAACACAAAATA